GATTCCCCAAAGAATAAACAGTTATTGAGCACTCACTGTATACTAGGTGCTAATAATGTAGTACCCGACATACATTACTTCATCTAAACCTCCACACAACTACATCGGGCAGGAAGTATTGTTATCCCCGTGTCCCCCCTGCTATCACCAGCCACAGAGGGCAAGTGACTTGTCCAGGATCACACAGTTAGTCAGCGGAGGGGCCAAGATCCAGGCCCCAGTGTGCCCAGAGCAAGTCCTGGCTGGAGCCAGGACACAGGGGCAGCACAGGGCAGGATGGGGATTCATCATTTCATTCCCACCCCCACCCTGGGGATGGGAGCCACGCACAACAGGAATTCAGTCGCAAACAGGACAGGCTGGGCCACTGCTCCATGGCACTAGCATGGAGTGAAACAGGCAAGAGTGCAGACCAGTGAGGCGTCTGGGAGTAGAGACAAGAGCCTGGTAACCTCTCCCCCCGCCCCCCAGCTAAATTCCCAGCAGGCACCGCCCTGGCTTTGGACGCCCTGCACCTCCCCAAGTAAACCTGTCCCCGGCAGACCATGCCTCCCCCCACCCCACCCCCGCTTCTTGGTAGTCCTCCAGCCCTGTGAGGGTCTCACTGTCCAGAAGCGAGTGTGCACAGGGCAACCTGTCCTCCTGTGACCCGGCCTGACGTGAGTGTAGGATCTGGGCCTTATTCACAGCCACCCTTAGTCACGTGCTGAGGCCGCCTCTCTGTTTCAACATTCAGCCACCCAACAAATACTGACGAAGCTCCTACATGTAAAAAGCCCGAGGGCTGGCACCTGTGGGAATACACATTCAACCAGAATCCCCAGGTCTGAAAGGGAAGCAGAGAACAGAAGTTAACAGCAGGGGCTGGCTCTGTGCACAGTGGGTTAAAGGTACCTGCTGCGCCAGCATCCCATATGGCCATGGGTTCAAGTGCTGGCTGCTCTACTTTGGATCCAGCTCCCTGCTAATGGTCTGAGAAAGCAGCACCCAAATGCTTGGGTCCCTGCACCCACGTGGGAGACCCAGAAGAAGCTCATGGCTCCTGGCTTCCGCCTGGCCCAGCCCGGGTCATTGCAGCCATCTGGGAAGTGAACCAGTGGATGGAAAATCCTCTCTCTCTCTCTCTCTCTCTCTCTCTCTCCTTTCCTTTCCTTCTGTAACTCTGCCTTCCATAAATAAATAAATAAATAAAAAGAAAAAAGAAACAGCAGATTCTCACGCCAGCCTGCAAGGTGGGTCTCAGTTCCTTCTTACAAACAAGGAATCAGGGCTTAGAGGAACCTGCCCAAGGTCACAGGCTAAAGGTACAGAGCGACGATCCTACCCCAAGTCAACACTCTCTCCAACCTGCCCAACACCTGCACACACAAATGCCCAGGAGTCTGGGCAAGACCCAGGGGAGGGGACATACTGGAAGCCATGGTCATCCTGGAAGCGCAGCGCTGACCCTGCCAGAGGTGGCCCAGAGGCTCAGTCCAGAAGATCAGAAAGACAGCAAAGGCTGAAGAATGCGTGGAGCACAGCTCCTTCACAGGCTCGGTCCCTAAGATAACTGCATCTCACATCTGGAAGCAGGACCAGCTCACCTGCCACAACACCCTGACTCATGCGTGCCTCCTGCCTGCTCAGACTTCTTCTACCTTCATCTGCATCAGCCCTGCCTTCCCCCAGGAGGCCCTTCCTCCTGTGTCATTTCATCAGATGCCCTAGGAGCCCTGAAGGGTGGGAGCGGCAGGAATGTGTCCTTTTACAGACAGGAAACACAATGGAAGCTCCAAGGCCTGGCCTGCCTGGTTCACTGCCCTCAGATCAACACCCTGAACCCTGCCCGGCACAGCACAGCAGCTCACAAGTACAAGGGCACTTCAAAGAGTTCACAGAAAAATGGAATAGAAAGATAGGCTTCTTTTTTTCACACAGAAATCGGAAACCCATGCTTCCTTTTTTCTTAATGTGCATTTCCCAAGCATTTCTGCAGTCCCCAGGGCAGGCAGCACAGGACGCTCCTTGTGTTTGTTGAAGGATCTAATACAAGCTTAAGAGAGGGAAATGACTTGCCCCAAGTCTCACAAATAACTGTGGTTTTTGCCAGGGCAAAAAAAACAGGGTCTCGGAGTAGCTGTTTGAGTGATTAACAGCCAGGTTGGGATGCCCACAACCCATGTCAGAGTGCCTAGGTTTAAGTCGCTCCACTCCCAATTCTATGATCCTGCTTACGTGCACCCGGGGAGGTAGCAATGGTGGCTCAAGTGTTTGGGTTTCTGCCAACCCAATTGAGTCCCTGGCTTCCCCCATGACCACCTGGCCCAGTCAAAACTGTTCTAGGCAGGTAGGAAGCAAACCAGTGGATGGCAGCTCTTTCTGTCTCTGCCTCCTATATAAATTTTTTAAAAAAATTAAAGGCTCTTTCTCCTTCCACCCAGTATCCCCCTGTCTCCTCCTCTCACACTTGTCAGCCCTGGTCCCACTTAACCCCAGCCTCCCACGGTCAGGAAGGAGGGAATGGAAATCCACAAGTTTCTTTAAGTCTTAACCAACCCCCCCCCCCCGCCCCCGCACATAACATCACCACCCTGATGAGAACCAGGCAAAGCAGAAATGCCACGGACAGGGAAAATGAGCCCCACGAAAGGTAACACAGGGAATCCATGGTAGGGAAGAAAACATGGAGCCGATTTTCCAAACAGACCCATGGCTCCTTCTGCCAGATCTGCCTCCAGCAACCCCACGGAGCAGGTGCCAGCTCAGCCTGGTCTGGAGAGCCTCTGGCTCTGGGTGCCAGGCCCAGCCAGCCCTTCCTGCCTCCCTCAGCAAACAGGGCTGAGTGAGGGGAAGCTGCCTGCTCTGCACATGTCCATGGCTCAGCAGCACAGGACGCTGGGCAGGCTACTTCCCCTCTCTGGCCCTGGTTACTGCATCCTCATGTGTGCCTGACTCACAGAGCTGTGGGCAGTAGCGACTGGAACTGTCACTCACCAGCAGGTGCCGGCTCCATGGGTCTGCTCCCCAAAGAACCCAGTTCCCCAAGTGGTCTGTGACCACCTGGCTGTGCAGAGCCCCTCATATCTATGACCACGTGGGCAGAGTTCTGGAAATCTATATTTTACCCCCAACCACACTTATTATGCCCATTCATTCATTCCAGGGTGCACCTGTGTGCAAGCCCAAGACTGTGTCCAGGAGGGGAACTCAACCGCACAGTGCTCACGGGGGCCTGGTTCCTGGGCAGCTGTCACTCAGGCCCCTTCCGGGCACAGGCAGGCTATTCCTAAGCTGGGACTTTTCTTTCTCTTCTCCTTCCATGGAAGACCCCCAAGACGTCACCATGCTCATCTCACTTTTCCCATCCAATTGAAGATCATTGCAAAAAGTGTCACCCTTGATTTTTTTGGGGGGGAGGAGCCCTCTGGTTTGTCCCCCAAAGGGATCTCATATCAACATTCAAGTTTCAACTCAGTAGTCCCGGGAAACAAGGTGACTTAGCTGGGAGGCTGTGCCCAGACCCCCAGAGCCCAGCTCTCCTGCAGGGGCCACAGGAAGACGGGGAGGGAGTGTTTAAGCAACTGCCACCTTAGGAATCAGGCAGTTCAAGGCCAGGGGACCCTGCGCTGTTGCTGCAGAGGACTGGCCCCGCGGCCGCAGGTAGTCTCCGGTGAGGAAGCCCACCGTGGGTGTGTTTTAAATTACCTCTGCTTGTCTGATGAAGGGAGTAAAAGGGCGCCGTTTCAGGGTTTAGGATTCCTGAGTGAGCTAATACAGGATGCCTTTGGCCGGAAAAAAAAAAAAAAAAAAAACTTCAGTCGGCTCTCTAAACTCCCCCCCTTTTAAGTTTAAAAAAGGGAATGAATGTTACCATTTTTGGACATGAGCGTTCTCCCACAAGCCCAGCCCTAACCGCGCTATCCAAAGGGACGCGCCATCCTGCCCCCCCATCCCCGGGTCGGCGGCGTGAAGTGGGGGGAGGACCGGATGGGAGCGGGCAGCGGGCGGGGGGTGTGCAGGGTACGTGGCTGCCCGAGGCTAGGGCTCACCGCGCGGACAGGAAACCGCAGCAGGGTTGGGGCGCCCTCTCCGCTCCTCGCCCCCCGCCCCCCGCAACAAGAGTGGGTTCCGACCTCTTCCTGCCCCTGGACACTCTGCGGGGGTCCCCTTGCCAGCCCCATGGAGGAGCGAGCAACCCGCACGCGGCTAAGCGCGGATAACCACTGACAGACCCCGAACATCCCCCGGGGACAGACCCTCGCCCCGCAGCCCCTCCGCTCGAATCCAGCCGGGAAAAGAGCGGGGGCCGGGGGAGCAGGACGCCGACGCAAGCCATGTGCGGCTCGCAGCCACCAGCCTCCGGAGTGAGGCAACCAAACCGTTCGCAGTCCTGACCCCGCCCCCACAGGGCCCTCAGCGGAGCCCGCGGCCGCCCCCCGGGTGTCTCCACCACGACCGCTCTCCAGCGGATTCACCTCCGGGCGGGTCTCGAGGTGACCCCCAACCCCTCTGGCCGGCGAGCTGGGGACACAGAGTCCCAGGCAGCTGGCTGGCCCCGCAGGTACTGAACCCACCGCTGCCCAGGAAGCGCGCAGCCACCGCACGCCATATGGAGAGCCGGCCAGGGGGCGGGGGAGAGAATGGAAAATCGATCCCGAGCGAGCAGCCTTCGAGCCGGGGTCCCGGCCCCAGGCTCCAGAGCTGCGCCCCCGCGCCCTGCCCACGCAGGGATGGTGGCGGCGACTGCGGCGGGGCGGCCTGGATCGCGGGCCCCACGGCGACCTGCCCGCCGGCTACGCCAGCTCCCCGTGCTCGGGCTCGGCGTTCGCGGGCTCTGGGGCTTGGGCGCTCCCCCTTCCGCCCCGCGCCTGTAACCCAACACCCAAGCCCGCCGCCGCCGCGCCGCCCCCGCCACTGCGCGCCCGGAACCCGCTCCGAGCCGGGAGCCGGGAGCCGGGAGCGCGGCGGGCGCAGCACGGCTAGGCTGGGGGCTGCGGCGAGTGGGGGCGGCTGCTCACCTTTCTCTGCTGCTTCTCCCAGGCCGGGTCCAATAGCAGGTCCCGGTCCCAGTCTTCCTCCGGCTGCATGTAGTCGTTGGTCTGCTGGGAATCATAGTGGTCCATGGTGATGGTGCGCGCGTGCTAGGGGCTGGAGTTCTTCCTCCACCTTCTTCCCCGGGGGACCCAGGCGGCGGCGGCTGCCCCGGCGTGGAGAGGACGTCTGGCCGGGCTCTGGGCTGGGCTGGCTCCCCTGCGCCCGGATCTCCCGCGGCGCTGCTCACGGAGGGTGCTGCTGCTGGCGGCGACGGCGGCGGCTGGATCTCCGGAGCCCGCGGGCTGCCTGCCTGCCTGCCTGGGCGCGGGCGCTCGGACCAAATCCCCACGCACACTGAGCAAGGCGGACACACTCGCGCTGCGGGAGCCGAGGAGGGCGGGGGCGGGGGCAGGGGCAGAGCCCTCCCGAGGTTCCCCATTGGCCAGGCCGAGTTGCCCAAACTTCCCCCCATCGCCTCTCATTGGGAATTCCTGGCATCCGTCAGCAGGGCCGCGGCGCACATAGGTGGACCTGGCAGCCCCCTCTCGGCGCGCAAGGCCCCGCCCACTCCCCGGTTCCCACTCCCCCGCGGCTCATGTGACACCAGCTTAAGCTGAACGGGACCGCTGCCTGGGGACGCCTCTCGGAGCTCGGGAGCCCCCTGAGCCGCCCGCGGGGAGCCCCCTGAGCCGCCCTCGGGGAGGCCCCAGGCTGGAGCGAAACGGCGTTCGTGCGCTCCCACGCGTGCTGTGAGCCCCGAGCCCAGGCGAGGCGGGGGCCCCGAGGTGCGAGGGAACCACCCCCCACCACCACCGCGAGCATTTCACTTTCTCTTTCCCAGGGCACCTGGGTCCCGGCAGGTCGGGCCCCTAAGAAGGGGGGCGGGGAGGGGCTGCCACGGAAAGGAATTTCCTGATTCCGGCCCCCCCAGCCCCGCCCCGGCTGGTCCCCGCCCTGCGGGACCAGGTTTCTCGCCGGCCAGCGGCTCTTAGAGGCCAGCGAGCGGCTTCGCTGCAGCTCCTCTGCCCCGGGCCTCTTCCCAGGTCGCCGCTTCCCGGAATCCCCCCCGGGCACGCCCCGCAGGCTGGCCTGGCGAGGGGCTACCAGCGTGTGGCCAGCGTCCTCCCTCGCCCTCCCGCAGACCCCAGCACCGTCCTGAAAACTGGGAGCGAGGGCCCGCAGGGATCTCCCTTGTCCACGCCCCCTCCCACCAGCACACACCTCGCGGATGGAGAACCCGAGGCTGCGAGAGCTAAGCTCCCAGAGAGAATGCTTTAGCAGGCTCGGACTCCGCAAGCCGGTCCTGTAACCTAACGCCTGACCAACAAAGCCTCATTGTTACTGGAGGAGGAAAGAGGTCAAGATGGACTCAGCACCTCCAACTTCTGCTTCGTACCTGGCTTGCACTTCCTTCTTTGGACTTAGGAAGCGGAAGGTCTCAACCCTGCGGCAGCGGCCGTGAGAGACCCGGGGAAGCAGGGAGCATCACGGGGAGGGGGCGATGGGGGGGGAGGGCGGGCATCGAGGTCCGAAGAAGAGCAGCGAGCCAGCTGCCCAGAGGTTAATGCACACTGCTGCGCACGGCAGGAGCGCTGGGTTTCCGCAGGCGGCTCTCAGGGTCCTGGGGGATGGGGGCGGGGCTTGGTTCCAGGACCCCGAGGATATGAAAATCCTAGGATGCGCAAGGCTCTTATTGAAATGACAGTGTTTGCACATCCACAGTCCTCCTGGGTGCTTTAAGTCACCCCTAGATGACGTAGAATACCAGTGCAACGGGAATAGTTATTAGACTGTACTGTCCAGGGGATAATGGCAGCGAGTAGAAGAGTAGGTAGATATCCCTCATCTTTGCTCCGCAACACGGTGCGTCTGCTGTGGGTTCAGTCAGGCCCGACTGTATCTGTAGGATGAATGGTGAGTCAGCGGCAAAAGTAAACAGGTACCTAAGGGAATCCCGCAAATATGTCAATCCACAAGTGAGGGGAGGAATTAGGGAAAGAGGTTCACCCGCAGGAAGGGCCCTGAGGAGGATGCCCAGAAGGCTACAGGTGCCTCTGTTCTCAGAAGAGCCGGCGGATGCTGCTGTAAGCAGATGGGGTGATGTTTTCACTCCCTGCATCGTTAGTCAGCCACGCACGTTCATGCAAGTGTCACCCGTCAGCTCCGTGCCTTTCCCTGGCAGAGAGTGCTGCTTCCGAGCCAGAGACAGCAGATTTATGGACTATTTTATAACCATTTCTAAACTATGGCTCTAAACCCAGCATAAAGGGCAATGATGGCACCGCATCCATTCAGTCCCTCAATAAATATTTGCTAAGCACCTTCTTGTGTGTCAGGCAAAGTGCTAGATGTTACGTATATAGACAGGAAAAAGCTACAATCCTTGCACCCACACAGCTCAGGAGAGACAAACCCAGACACAAAAACACTATGCAGGGGCTGGTGTAGCCCGTAAAGCTGCTGCCAGTGGATAGAGCTGCCGCCTGCAGTGTCCACATCCCATATGGGCGCCAGTTTGAGTCCCGGCTGCTCCACTTCCAATCCAGCTCTCTGCTATGGCCTGAGAAAGCAGCAGAAGATGGCCCAAGTCTTTGGTCCCTTGCACCCATGTGGGACACCCAGAAGAAGCTCCTGGCTCCTGGCTTTGTATCTGTGCAGCTCTGGCCGTTGCGGCATCTGGGGAGTGAACCAGTGGATGGAAGCCCTCTCTCTATGGCTCTACCTCTCTCTGTAACTCTGCTTTCAAATAAATAAAATAAATCTTTAAAAACAAAACCCACTATGCAATGAGACAGAAGCAGGGAGCAAGATCTGGTCTAGGTGCTGCAGGAACCCAGAGGAGGAGCCCTGAGCTGCGTGGGAAAGGAAGCTCCAGGTTTAACTTTTTGGAAGTGAAACTTGAATAAGCCTAAAGGCAGCAAGTCAGCCAGATAAAGAGCTCGGAGGTTCGTCCAGGCAGAAGGAATACATGAGCCAGCACACAAGGGCAAGACACTGCATGGTGCAGAGGAACACTGGCGTCTCCATGTGGCTGGACGGGAGGCCCGGGGGGAGACGGGGCCACGAGGCGGGCAGCAGCCAGATCACAGAGGCTGTGTGCTGTGTGAAGGTGACCCTGAAGGGAGCAAGGGCGACTGGAAGCTAGGACAGCAAGTGCAAAGCTGCGACCATCAGCCAGCGGGAATGGGGAAGAAAGGACGGGCAGGGGGTACTCATGAGATGCACCTGGCAGGCGCCAGGGTCTACTGAGAGCCCCACCGTGGGACTTCACCTCTACTGTGTAATTGGAGTAGGCTCCACCCAGGAGACGAGAACTGTCCGCATCCTACAGAATAATCAGACTCGGGCTCCAGGAGCTAGCAGCCAGTCCAGAGTCACACGTGTATGTGACTCTCAGGCCCCCGCCTTTAACTAGTGATTCTCAACCACAGAATCTAATGTTTTGGAAATGTTATTTATTTGAAAGGCAGGAGCGGGTGGGGTGGGGGAGAGAGATAAGAGTTATCTTCCATCTGCTGGTTTACTCCCCAAATAACCTGCAACAGCCAAAGCCAGAAGCCTGTGTGATTCCATCTGGGTCTCCCACGTGGCTGCAGGGCCCCAAACAATTGGGTCACCTTCCACTGCTTTCCCAGGCGCACCAGCAGGGAGCTGGATCAGCGAGCTGGGACTTTTGAACTGGTGATGTCAGCATCACAGCAGAGACTTAACTTGTGGTGCCACAATGCAGGCAACATCATGAGTTTAAAATACAAGGAGGAGTGGCCGGCGCTGTGGCGCAGTGGGTTAATGCCCTGGCCTGAAGCGCCAAATCCCATATGGGCGCCAGTTCTAGTCCCAGCTGCTCTACTTCCAATCCAGCTCTCTGCTATGGCCTGGGAAAGAAGAAGATGGCCCAAGTCCTTGGGCCCCTGCACCTGCGTGGGAGACCCAGAAGAAGTTCCTGGCTCCTGGCTTCAGATCGGCACAGCTCCAGGCCATTTTGGCCAATTGGGAAGTGAACCATCGGATGGAAGACCTCTCTCTCTTTCTCTCTCTCTCTCTCTGCCTCTCTTCTCTCTGTGTAACTCTAACTTTCAAATAAATAAAATAAATCTTTAAAAAAAAGACACAAGGAGGTGAATAAGTGACAGCAAATCTACAGGAAGAGGAATAATGGGGGTGGCCAGAGGCAGGAGTCCTGGGGCCAAAGGAAGAATTCTTTTGAAACAGGAGTACCTTGAGTTGTCTGTCGTCTGAGTCCGAAAGAGCTGAAAATGTAAGCAGAAGAAAGTGGAAAATGATATGAAATTCTTGGGGAGGGAGGACACAGCTACAGGATGGGCCATGAATAGAATGAGACCCCCATCTTCTGAGAGAGGAGGAGGAGGAGCAATGCCAGGTGAGGCTGTGTGGAAAGAGGTCAGAAGGTTGGAACAATGGGTGACCTTGGTCTTGACACTAAGGGAGGAGGCCCTGAGGGATGGACCCCAGGTGATGACCCTCACACTGGTCATGTGATACTGAGCATACTTGCAACACAGGCTGCTAAGATATATGCATGCATGTTGGTGACATCCACTTTGTAATGGGCCGTAACATGGAGTGCATCAGTAAAGTGCACTGTTGTTAAGGGTGCAGCTCAGTGAACTTTCATGTGTCTATACCCATGCAGTTTCTACCAAGGTCAAGACATAAAACGCAAAGCACCTCAGGTTTTCTCATATCCCTTCCAATTTATTCTCCAAATCCACCTACATACACATCCTTCTGACTTCTGCCGCCAAGAATTATTTCTGCTTGTTTTTGAACTTCATGGAAACACACACAGTGGGCAAGCAGCCACTCACCCTGCATCATATATTGGAGTGCCTGAGTTTGAGTCCTGTCTCCTCTACTTCTGATCTGACTTCCTACTCACACACACCCTGTGAGGCAGCAGATGATGGCTCAAGTACTTGAGTCCCTGCCACCCACCTACGCAGAAGACCCAGATGGAGTTCTGGGCTCCCAGCTTCATCTGGCCCAATCCCAGGTGTTGTGGGCATTTAAGGAGTGAACCAGTGGATGGAAGATATCGCTTTCTCTATCCCGCTTCAATTAAAAACAAATAAATAAAACTTTAAAAATAAACCATATACATATTTTGGTTTCTGGATTTTTCACTCTTTAATGTGTTTGAGGCAGTTTATTTATTTATTGCCATGCAGAATTTCATCATATGAGCATATCTAAGTAACTTATCCAGTCTCCTTTTGGTGGGCATTTGTACTCTTTCCAGTTTGGAGCTACTGTGAACATTTTTTAATGACAGTTCATCAATGGCAAATATATGCCCAAACCAACAATAATTAAACCAATAACAACTGACCTAAAATGTATGAATACTATAGAT